CTATTGTGGAATGTAATCATGTTTCTCCATTATATCTTTTTGTAGAAAATAGAGGGTGGCATATGGTCTTTACATGAATCTTGATGCTAATAACTGTGACAAGCTTTCAATGCAGTTAAATAACCGTTAATATAATATAGGCAACCAGTGCATCTTATATGAAACAGTATATCCATTCACATGATCAATGCATTTGCAAGGCGAAAAAATATTTACATTCATATAATCATTGCAAATTTAAACAACACACCAGTGTGTACATGGTACAAAATTATACATGTTTCACATCTTTTATCTTACGTTTACATGTGCACTGATTTTATACTGTGTATGTATTAGTTATATGAATATGTGCACTTTGTCTTGTGTTGGACATGCAAATGTTATGTGAATTTCTGCACTGATTTACATTGCACTTGCTGTGGTTACATGAAGTAGGCGCTGGTTTTATATTATATCCTGATATATGATTTTTCTGGGCTCTTCTTCCAGCTAGAACAAAATTTCACTCAACCGTTATCTTTACTCATCCATCAATTTTTCATTCAGGTTTGCCAATGATGGGATGCTTGTGGAAGGCCTGTTCTGGAAAGATGTAGAAAGACTGATCGATGACTACAATGGAGATCTCAAGAGTAAGTAATTCTAAGAAGGCTGATGCCTCGAGTATAACTGAAATTTTACAGGAAAAGGAAGCTACTTACTGATCAGTCTATCAAAATTCTGGTTCTTGTGCCCTCCTTGTAGTTTAACCTTACTATCATAATCAGAAATTTTGGTGCTTCAAGTTATTTCTCAGTTTGAATAACACAGTTTTTTGTGATTCAATCTGCTAAAAAATTAGAAAACATGCATGGGAAGTCTTATTTAAGTTCCAGTCCTTTGATGATTATGAGCTTCTTGAAGAAAATATTTTGTGTGTCTAGGTACTGAACTAGCCTCGTTACTACTCACTAACGAATCTGACATCATTTTGGTCGAGGCCTGAACATATGGTTGGATGAGGTAAAATATTAAGAACCTTTTATACATTACATGTCTCCAAATATTAAGAACCTTTTATACGTTGCATGTCTCCCTACCCTTTGGCTAATTGTTTTGTTTGTGTTTACCGAATCTACTTAAAGTCAGTAAAAGCAAAAGAAAAGAAACATGTAATATGTAAATAGTATTTACTTCTATGTGACATGCATGGTCTCAGCTCTTGCATGTATACACTTGTGTCTTATAGCGGATGATCCCTCCTACTGGAATTGATTATAGTATTTTCATGAATTAAATACCGTTTAACTTATTTTATACAACTTATTGGATTAAACTGTTCTCTAATATGTACAACAAGTGGCGTACAAATTACACAATCCAAGTGAAGTTATATTTTATTGCTGCAGTTTCACTTTTCAAGAGGTTAAAGAATATCCTCTCGTGTAACCCGTTGCATAAACCTATCCTTTGAAGTAACTTGTTTTCCCTTTTTTTCTTAAATTCATTTTTCACTTCTCTTTGATCTTGGTTTACGTTGTCTCTCTACTTTATGAATTTCATCATTTTAACCCTATGAACAGATAACATCAAACACATGATGAAATATGTAATTCTTTTGAACACAAAGGGTGTTACACGCTCTAGGAAATATAGACAGTAGCTACTAGGGCTGAGCATGGTTCAGTCCAAACCGAAAAAACCGACCGAACCGATCCGAAAAAATCAGTTTTATAAGTAGGGCGATTCAGATCGGTTTGAAAACTTTTCAACCCGAACCGATCCGAACCGACCGAATATAGTGCAATACTATCCATTCTGATCTCAAACCC